CTGATTGATTGGTTTTTTTTTTTTTTTTTTTTTTTGGAGAGATTTTCACTGTAGGGCGCGTGTACTCGCCAGACAGACAGAGAGAGACATAGAGACAGAAAGCGAGAAATCACCCCCCAGGGGGGATGGCCATGCTGCAATCCCTTCTCCTCCATTCTCCTCTCGGGATCTTGGGCACGCACGCACACGCGCCCGGCATGAGTTTTAAGCCACCGGGTCTGGGACACGAACCGCGGTCGACTACGTGGGAGTCCAGTGACATAGCCATTACGCTAACTGCTGGTTCCCGGGGATCCAGCTTTCTTAACCACCACACCATCGCTCGTCCTCCTTCCCCCTCTGCTTGCCAACGGAACCTTTATCAACTACGCACCAGTAACTGTCAATTTATCTGTACTCTCCCTCTAGGTCACGGATTAGCAGACTTCCGTGAAAGGCCAGATAATAAATATTTTAGGCTTGAATTCTGTCACGGTTTCTCAATTCGTTCATTGTAGCACCAAAGCAACCACAAACAATACAAAAAGAAATGAGCTTGGCTATGTTCCAGTGAAATTTTATTTATGGGCACTGGGATTTGGATTTCATATAATTTTTCACATGTCATGAAATATTGTTCTTTGATGCTTTCGCCAATTGTTTGCAAGTGTAAAAACTGTGCTCGGCCCGCAGGTCACATAAAAGCAGGCTATGAACTGAATATGGCCTTCATGTGTACCTCTGCAGTAGGTCAGGATTCTTGAATTGTTTTCTGTGCATTAGAATCCCCTGGAGGGCTTGTTAAAAGACTGCTGAGCCCCCCTCCCGGGAGTTTCAAATCCAGTAGGAACCAGAGAAGTGGCATTTCTTTTATTTCACTAGAGGGCACAGGGACTCACCAGAGGCAGAGAGACAGAAAAGCGTGGGAGAGAGGGAGAAAGCTCTTTCCAATGGGGTGTGGTCCTCTCTCCATTTCTCCATCCCGTCGGGATTTGGGGCATGCATGCACACACACACACAACGCGCACGCCTGGCCTGTTTTTCATACCGTGGGACCCAGACTCCAGTCATGGTTGTGATCTGACTCTCTTAACCTCTAGACCACAGGGCCGGAATTTGCATTTCTAATGAAGTGCCTGGTGCTCTCAGGGTGCTGGTCCCAGCCAGCTTGGTGAGAGCCACGGCTCTAAGCGGTAAGATCTGGACAGCGTGTCCCCTGTTCTGTGTGTCTTTGTGCGGCTCCGGCATCAAACACAGGGGAAGGAACACACAGACTTAGAGTTGGTTGAATGAATAAGCAGATGAAGGGTCAAGAGTTTAGGATTTAGAGTCAGGAGATAAAGGATGGAAGTCTGACTCTGAGACCGTGGGCAAGTCACCAAACCTCGTATTTCTCACCTGTCAGCGAGGATAATACCCACCTCATAGGGCTGTTAAAAGCACCCAAAGAGATCCAGAAAACTACACACCCTTGGAAAATGGATAAGGCCCCACCCAGCTGAGGAAGCCCTAGGGAGAAGGGCGTGGTCTCACCCTACCCTGGCCAATGAGGGCTGGTGGCGGAGGCCCCGCCTCT